GTTTATCGCCCTGAAAGCGTGACACAGCGATGATGACCGATGGAATCAAGAGAGTGGGGAAATCAGCATTGCAGCGACCTTGTTTTAACCAATAGGTTACATGAATACATGGATAGCAAGGGGAATGTCTCTTGCTAGGCACAATCTCTATCCAACCCTTTGTTTGAGATGTTCAATCTCATTTACTTCTTGAAATTGTGACTCATTTCTGAACCATGGGGTCCTGTTATTACTGACGGAGGCAGACAATCAGGATTCTCGTTTCTAGCCAGCGTCTGCCGATTAATCAAACCGACGTTCACCACAGGAGTCCCCGTCTGACCTTTTACTGTTTCTGACTAGTTCTAAAACAAGAACGCTTAAGGGTCTTGAACTGAGGTTGATGCTACATGTCAAAGGCAAACAAATTCAGCATCATCACCAGTCAATTTTCCATGTAGAAGGCAAGTAAAGAGAAACTGAGTCCTAGTATTATAAGCATTGAAGGGAATATGGAAAGTTATTCTATCCTAACAAACACTAATGCTCTGTTGAGCTAAATTTCAGATTTTCGCGTTAATGCAATCGGCAGAAGTAAATATCTAATGCAAGGCTTTTAACGAACTACATCATGTTAGCATAGCCTTGCGTGACGCTAATCTAAAGATGGATTTGTGTTGGCGTGATGACGTTTAGTAGTTATTTGGTCACTTGTTAACTTGTTAGGATCTTCGGAGAATCACGACTGAGGTAATACTGAAGTCATTTATTTTGTAGAATAAAACTTGACATCTATTGATCTATTAGGCTTGTGTTAACCCCATAACTAATTTAAGGCATCTAACCACCAATATGCTAAAAAAAAGTTGACTTGTAGACAAGGTAAGCAGAAGAAGTAAAATGCTAAGTCATTTCCAGGTCTTAGGACTCATTCGTGCACCACTTTACTTGAGGGAATACCTTAAAACAGTTCAGCAGATTCTCAATTCATCAGAAAAGATCAGTACCGTCTTTGCACTTATTGACGCTTGCATACGGAGGGTCAAGACTCCTAACCTCCTAACCATGAAAACAAGTTGTGTGTTGTATAAATTAAAATACTTTGACATGCTCTCATTTACAATATTCTGCCGGTTCAGCTGCCCGATTTTCGCTCCTTTTAATTATTTTAAATTAAATAACTTTAGACAGAGGATCAGACTAAACAAGCAAATTGACCAAGCATGCAAAACGACCAATACATGTTGTTCCCCTAGGTCGAAAAAGACCTAGGCATGACCTTTATTAACTGATCAGCCACTAATTTGTGTCACAAAGGCAAAACTGCTCCAGAGCAATGCTTATTGGAAGATGATGCACATCATTTGCATGCCTCTGGGGAGTCTGAGGCTGTCAGTAAGCCAATACTTTGGCTTAAGAATTATGAGAGAGTAAGAGTTGGAAGACATGCAAACTAGAAATATCAGTCAATGTAACATTGACTTCATGACCAAGGGATTCACGTATAATCTTGCCAATATATCTTCCCACAACAATGTGTTGGAGGCAGCCCAGATGCAGTTTTAGCACCTACCTGTGAAAAAGGAATGAGCTCTGAATACAGAGTGGCTGCACATCCATTAACAGGACTCAGAAACAAGCAACGCTATTAATCATTTTCAGTCATCTCTAGCCGGCAGCAATTTGTTCATTCAGTAATTCGGATATAAAATGGAAGGTGGGGGTGGGAAGAGGCAGAGGCAGGGTAATGTGGCGAGGTAAAGACAGGATCAGCGTTTCACACTCTCATATAAGTGAACAGGAGTTGGCACAGGGTTTGGGCAGCACAGGCACGCTAAAATATTAGCGTCTCGGGCTGTGAATATTCATACGTGGTTGTCCCAATCATCATCAGATTGTGGAGGACAAAGCAGTGTCCCTGGAGTGTAATTTGATTCTACATGTTCCTGCTTAATTTCCAATGACAGGTGGCTCCGGATAGAGAGGGTGAATGCTTGGAGGTGAAGCTGTGGCTGCAACATGTTTCAGCCAACAGGAGGCAAGTAGTGCTGGGTCATCATGACAAGTGAATATGTCATGACTGTCTGCGTGGGGCCAATGACAATGGCTCAGACTGTGGTGAATATGCCTCCACAAATCTTTATGGTTGTTAATATTCCTTCACAACACCTAAGCAATCCAAAAACAGCTTATAAGAGTTCTGCAAAGAAGAGTGACTGATTAAGGCATTATTGTATCAAGATATTCAATACTTCAACAGCAGATATTTCCTGCTTTAAATGAGGATACTATCATTCATCAAAGCAAGGGTGAGGGTAGTGTTGTACAGCAACTGGAGCGCGCACACACACAAGTACACTCCCTGGATCTGCGTGTCTGTTTCCAAAAGGTTTCCAAGCAACCAGATCCTGGCCAGGGCCTTTGGTCGTAGGCTTATCAGGTAACTGCTTTCTGCGCCTGATCACATGTTCACTAGGTTTCTGTTTGCTTGACTTTTGACCAAAACAACAAGGAGTGGAGGAGAACACAGGAAGGGTCCAGAAGAACTTTAATCAGGGGAAATTATTGTTCAGGATCAGGAATGAGAAATATACAGACTAAATAAAAAAAGTGTGTTGATAAAAGGAAGAAGTGGACAGATATGACGGGCAGGTCTAGCCACGGTGTTTAATGATTGACAAACACATACTGTTTCTTGGATAAGCTCTACGATTACAGATTTTAAAAAGGCAGAACAGCTGGGGGCAGGTTTGCTTAAGCAGTAGGCAGCTTGCCTTTTTCTATAAACTGTGGTAATACATTTTCTTTTTCAAATAAAATGATGAAATTAATTTATAAACCTTTGAAATAACTTGAAAATGTTGTTAGCAGAACTATGTGTCAGCCCTTGCATGTAGCACTGTTCAGTGTTTGTAACAGCCTCTGTTGCATTATCAAGAGTCCATGCCAACCCAACATCAACTTGATCTCTGATAACATTGTCATATCAAAAAACATCTCCACAAAGAAGAGGGGGGAACCATCAAAGAAGCATTTTCACAACTACACTGTGTACAAATGTCCTTTACTCTTTTCTTTATAGCCTCAAATTGTTTAGAAGCTTGACTTGTAATATGATGACTGGCTAAATACTCATCAATGACTACAAGTTAAAGCATTTAAGATCTTCCTTTTACACAACATTCTTTTTCTTCATTTTGTCAACATTATATATGCCATGTGATGGCTCACAGACAAATAGAGCAAGGAAAGTGGAGCATAACGACCCCATTTGTTATGTTGCCATTTAAGAGGCGTTGGGCTATTATTGTGTATTACTAAGCCATGATAAAAGAATGCTACGAGTCTGGCAGATACTGTTTTTGTTCGCTGAAGTAGAACAGCGCCCAAATGACGAGGCCATGATTCCATTAAGATGGTAATGAGCCCAAACTAGTGTACAAAACAATGGTAGTCATGAGACAAAAGAAGGCTTAACAACATGCTGTATACAACCTTATATTACACCCAATGCCCCTGCTTTTATAAAGAGAGTTGTCCTGGATGAAACTAAACAAAGCACATCTTCCTCACATACGTTTTCTCACTAATAAGCAGAATGGAATGTCATTGCCCTGACCATGGCTCTGTGGCTTCCCATTGAAATCTCAAAACTTTTCAATAACCACTGCATTGCACAAGCCAACAGAGGAGTCTGTAGAAAAAGTTTCACATTATTGTTTGGAGTGGGAGGAGTGATCAGCTAGTTTCAGGGTAAATTCCAGGAAGGCCACACCCATACGCATCAAATTGCTACAAATAACAAAACTGAAGAGAGGTAAATTAATACTTTTAAGATGATCAAACTAAGATTCTTATTATATAGTTTATCACATTAGCAATGTTTCTACATGTATCACCCTGATGAGACAAAAACAGGTCAAACAACAAAGTTCAACATTTTTGGATAAAAACTTGAATTTGTATTCAACTGTATAGCCTTGAATGACAAAAGGTAAGTTAGTGGTAGCCACACTTGAGTTAAAATAAAGCCCTTGTCTCTGCCCATGTGGTTTCCAGTCCAATAAAGAATATATTATATCCTTTGAATAATTAACTACAAGTTAGTTAAGGTTAAAAATAACTATTCTGTTCAAAGGTTTCACAACCTCCACTGTTATCTACCAACCTACGGTGTCAACAAACAGCAAAACCCTCGTTGAGGGTGACCTAACTTTCATATTGGAAGGATTAAAAAGGTAAAGACACCAATTTAAGCTGAGATGTCCACAGGAACAACATGTGGTTATGTTACATGCGATGGTGTGGGATTTGGGACTGTGGAAGGGGGGTGGGGGGGGGTTCAGCACTGATGGCAGATGGCAGACAAAAATGCCGCCCTTTGAAGTCCTGCAGCCACAGGTTTGAGAGCGGATTAAGATATTGTTTTAACCACCACCACCAGATATCAAACGGAAATAATAGCTACCATCTAATTTCTGTTCGAGGATCAAACATATTGCCATATATTTAAAAATTCCCTTAGACAAGAACATTAACCTCAAGACAACCACTTATTACCTGTTAAACATGTTAAATAAACCACTGTAACGCATGGGGTTATTGAGATAAAATGCATGAAATAAAGTAAGAAAACGTACATTATCAGTAAAAGCTTAGTAACAAAGTTTCGATACAATGTTGGTAACTAGTTTAACTGAATATGGTTTGTCCAGCCGGAAGCTTGTTCTGGTGTGCAAGCTAACTAAACTGACCTGTTGTCAGTTACTCGGAGTAAATTCAAGTGTATTAAAATGTGGTTTGGTACCACTACTGAATTTGAACCATGACATAAGGTAATATAACACAACATAAACTTTTCAGCATGTTTTACTTCTTAAACCAGGCATGTTCCGTGTTAAGGCCAGCGGTGTTGTAACGTGACACGGCTGACCAGAGACTGTGCTCGCTGCCGTTTTAGTTAAAAAAAATCCATGAGAATCACAAAGTGTCTCCCCGGCAGTTGGTGGCAGAAAACTTACCTGCAAAGAGGCTCAGCAGTACACAGCAAAAGCGACCTATCGTAAGCTCCATTCCTGGTCCAGCTATTCCACGACTTCCTCAGTGAAACTCGGTCGAAGAACTTGTGTTGAGTTCGATTGAAAGCGGCAGATCAGCTCGACCGAGCATCCAAACTCCGCTCCTCCTCCTCCTCCTCCTCTCTGCAGGTGCACAGTGGAGCGCGCCGCAAGCTGTCACGTGATAAGTGGAGTTTCCAAACTAGATCCGGTGTCGCCATCTGCCGGTCTGAAGCGGAAGCAGTATGAAAAAACAGCCGTGTTGTCCTGTATTAGGTTTCAAGGCTGTTATTTGTCATACGTGCATAGCTACAGTGTAGTTATGACGATGAAAATCTTAGGTTACGTATTATTACCACATGTGGAACAAGTACTAAGAGATTGTGTACTTAAGTAAAAGTAGAAAATACCAAAGTGTAGGAATACTCTGTTAGATATCTCCCTTAACTAAAAGTATTGGCATTAAAATATGCTTAAAAGTACCCAAATTAATCGTTAAGCAGATTGGCCCATTTCAGAATCATATATGATATGTTTTGGTTATCATTATTGATGTTTTGATGTGTTTATCAAGCTGGTAAAGGTGGAACTAATTTCAATTACTTTATTTACTGCTGGGTAGAATGTGAATTTAATTCAGTTTTAAAGTATTTTTTAAGTGTTGATTCTATTGTTTATCATTAATATATATCTGCAGAATAACTAAAGGTTCTACATAATTGTAGTGGAGTAGAAGAACAAAATAGCACAACATGGAAATATGCAAGTGCAGTACAAGTACCTCAAAATTATACTCAAGTACAGTACTTCAGTAAATGTAATGAGTTACTTAACACCACTGATAATACTACATGTCCTATAGATGCAATTTAGGGTTAGAATATTGTCCAAGGACACTTCACATGTTCCCCATGTGCTTTCCATCCAGGGGCAATTGTGGAAGATAACAATTTGTACAACTTTGATGGAGTCAAAGTCCTCTCATTTTTCCCAGTCTAAAGTTTGTACTATTCAAGAATATTTCTATATTTCAAAATGATGAAATTGTAAATATACATTTTCAGATTCTGTTTCATTCACAGTTAACCTTTTATATTCAAATTTTTAATCCATATATTTGCCTAAAAAATTATAATGGCAGACCAATATAACATGTTACATTCCAAAAACTGTGGGCCCAGTGGTTTGTGGTGGATAAATATCTAAACAGCCTACAACCACGTATTAACACCTCGTGTTAACTTGTTCAAATTAAAAATGTGGATAATTAAGCACTTTTATTGCAAAGACGACTGGGAAACTGTAAATATCTAAATAGTTACATTGAACAAGATACAATTACTTACACCAAACAGTAGATTCTTGTATACAGTATATTATGTGTTATCATCTATGATATACATGTTTTTTATTTACCTCAACTAACTTAAACAATTTTGTTTATTGCACTTGTATATATACATATATAATATTTAGCATTATTCAAAAGGTGCCTGAGCTTCAAGATGTTCATTGCCAAAACTATGCTGTAGCTATTAGACATGTAAAAAAACAAAGGCTCCCTATAAAGTGAATAGAATTGCATTTGTGTGTTGCTCAAACTACTTTATGATTATGCTTGAAAGATAATGCGTATACAAACCCATTTAGCTAAAGATGAATACTAAATGTATATGAAAAGTGATCTGTTGAACATAACATGTCATTTAACCATTAGGTCCCCAGTTTGATTCTGTTTTCATTCCATTTAATTTGTTTACATACCAAAAGACAAATGGAGGGGAAGAAAAATACCCTTCAATGTAGGAATTTAATCACACGATTGTATAATCCTTTTGTTAACACCAACACAATGCACAAAGCATGATGCTCCAAAATTGTGTTTAATAAAAGTCCATAAATTTAAGTCTATTAATAAATAAAACAATCACAAAAAGGACAAAATAGGTGCTATACATGAACGTTTCCCATTGTAAAAATACAGTACTTCAAATTGTGTAGTATTCCAATTCAATATCTAATTTATACAGGTGATTCATTTAAAAGTATAACAAACCATCTAAAGTGCACAAATATTTTTTCATCAAAAACAAATCAATATATATATCTATAAAAATTCATGTTAAAAAAAAAGTTTTCAGTCATTTTAAAGTCGCCTTCCGCTTTAATGTCTAGTGTGAACCAAAAGCACCATGATTCCTAATTGTAACCATGTGCCGAATTTTGGAGGACGTCCCAGTACCTGGTGCTTCTTCCATACGTGTAGCTAGGGTGGACCCACATATTAGGCATTAGAGTGTGGGGCCCTCTGCTGTGGGGCCTGAAGCCGTAGTGAGGCTGTGGAAGGATGTAAGCGTTCCCTGGCACCATCTTCTTAGGATGCCACGAGGGAGCAGTAGGATTTATTGCCTTGAATAAAAAAAATAAAAGGTTCCATTAAAACCAACACAAACAATCGTAGCCTTTGACCCCAGGAAGCATTTGACTCACAAGTATTGGGGGAACAACAATTTACAAAACATCAATTATAAAATTAATTAATTTTAACACAACAAAACATGGTTAATGTAGTCAACTAAAACCTGGTAGTTTCAAGCCAATGTAAAGTCATGTTATGAATGACATGGATCAATGATGTGTGGCTGTTGTGACAGAGTCAATGGGAGTCTGCGCCCTGTAGAGTCCTGGGTCCTTTACAACACAGCAGCCGCTCACCAAGCACTCATTGGTTACAAACAGACGATGTAGCGCATTCATTGGTCGAGCAAATGCTCTTCGTGGAGATAAGCCATTACTGTCATGACTCAAAGAGTCAGGCATGTCTTTTTTGTTTGTTGCAAGTCATCCAGAGATGTCCTTTCATCATGAATGTTTACAAAAATAGGCATAAATCGGATTTTTTTCAACAAAATTAATTTGGTGTAAAGTTTGTAACGTGATCTGATTAAAGAGATGTGCAGCCTAATTGTTTGTTACCATGAGAAACACAAGAAGAAGCAGCAAATCCTCGCTGGCCATCCGTGAAGATATCAGTGGACGCAGTTAAACCACAGATACACATAATACAACATATAGCCTGTATATTTGTAAATGAAACGCCCGGGTTTTTTTGCAATTGCATTTTCAATAAGCTCATTGTCGACACATATTTTCCATAGGACGTTTTTATAGCCTATTTTATTCAAAAAACACACAAGAACATTAGAGTAACAAATATGACTCTAGCAGACCGGTGAATGCAAATTGTCTTCTTCAGTGAATTCTTTGGCTGATTCTTAAGAATTATATTTTTGAGTCTTAATTGTCCTTCTCAGCTCAGATTTTGTCATGTTCGCTGCCAGTTTTCGGTCTCCACCTCCCACACGAAAATCTCTTTCTCGCACCAGTTCACGCTGGTAGCTCTGTAAAATCCCTCTTTCTTTCTTCGGGTGTGGCATCATTTATTCTTTTTCTTTTGGTTTCTGTTATCCATGAGTTCGTTATCCAAATCTTAGTTTGCTCTGAATGGAGGAGTTCGAAAGAATAAATTATGTAGGCCCCCGTTAGTGTTGCTTGAGCAACAATTACTGATTTTCGCAGTGTATTCACGATGGACGCGCACCTTAAGGACCAGGCGCAGCTACGACCTAGACTAGTCAGGCTTGCTGCACTCTTAAATTCGAATCACTTCAAGTCGCACGTAGCCCCTAACCCCGACACGTTAG